TAATAATAATAATAATAATATTGATAATAATAATAATGATAGAAACGCAAATCCGCAAAATAGAAATGAAAGACAAACTACAAACGAATGGAACCCCACGAATACATATGTGTACACACACACAAACACACACAGTCAAACACACACACAGAGAGAAGTGTATATTAATGTATACAGCAAACAGAGGAAAATAAACACAGACAACACCTATTGTGTGTATGTATATGTGTATGTGTGTGTGGGAGAAAAGGGGAATAAACACCATACAGAGATGGGAAATAAGAAGCAAAGAAAAAGAAAAATGGAATAATGAAAAGTGAATTACAACAGAAATGGTTGCGTGATGAATATTCACAAAATAAAAAAAAAGAAATCAAAATGTACACGTCTTCTTCTTAATAATGACAACCATTCACCACAGACACACACACAGAGAGAGAGAGAGAGAGAGAGACTTACACCTATATAGACATCTATATATATATATATAGAAAGATAAATAACGGTGTAAGTGTGAAGGCTGTATATATATATATATATATATATACATATATATTCAGAGAGAGAGAGAGAAAGTTAAACACCGTACGTACACACAAATGTCATAAAATCATCAAGAAGAGGGAATCCACTCATCTACACAGTGAAGAAAAAAAAATTAAAAAAAAAAAGATATTGGATTACAACATCATTGGTAAAAAAGAAAGGGGAAAAAAAGAAACATTATTATTTTTATTCCTCATTCGTAATGACAGACACTCTTACTCTTTCTTATTATTCTTTTTTTATTTTCATTTTTATTATTATTTTTATTGTGGATATTGTTCTTTTCTTTGAAATGTTTCCCTGTTGTACATCCCACTGCCGTCATTCCCCCTTCTTATTCCCACTCCATTCGCAATGGAGATCGAAAATAAATAAAATAAATAAAATAAATAAATAAAATAATTTAAAAGAAAAAAAAAAGAAATTGCCAAGAAGAATACTTTTTTTTTTCGTTTTTCTTTTTCTTTTTTCTTCCTTCTTCTCCTTCCCAGCTGTATACCTCACACTCACTCATTCACTCATTTCTCTCAATCTTCTCATATATACATATATATATTCTTCAGTTATTATTATTATCATCATCCCATTATTGTTAATAATAGTATTACCACTATTACACTTCTGTCACCGCCAATAAAAATTAAAATAAATAAATAAATAAATAAAAATAAATAAATAAATAAATAAACTTCTCTCTCATTTCCCCTTTTTTTTTCCTTCTCTCCCCCTCTCTCTCTAGATAAATATATACATATATACATATGTGAATATAAAAGATCAACACGACGTTTGGAAATAATGAGAATCGAAAAAAAAAAAAAAAAGAAATCGCAGGGGATCACATCAAACAAACAAAAAGATACAAAATCAGTCAAATTTGAGAAAGAAAGAAACAATCAATCAATCAAAGAATGAAAGAAAGAACAAACAAACAAGGGCTAAATAGTCAGTTCGCAATAAAAATAAATAAATAAATAAATCATCATAGAATGTAGACTTCCCCCTCCTTCTTCTCCTATTCTTATTATTATTATTATTATTATTTATTTATTGCTAATGGCCGTACGCACGTATGTGGTGATTGGGGGATATGAAGAAACAATCAATTCAATTCAATTCAATACAGGCAGGGCGGTACGTGCAGAATATAAAAAAAAAGAAAGAAAGAGAGATCAATTGACAATCGTAAAGAAAGGAAAAATAATTCAAACAATCAAAAATAATGAGAGGTGAAACCACAAAAGAAAAAAGGAAAAAAAAAAAAAAACAATGAAAGGAACAAATAAACTACACACACGGAGAGAGAGAAATAGATAAATAGATAAATAGATGGATAGAGAGAAAAAAAAGAAAACATGCACCTTTATCACCACTGCCTTCCACAGACAAATTCTCACACATACACATTTTATACTAGAGAGTAACAAGAATAAAATAAAAGAAAAAACACAAGTAGATAAGTATGTACAAGATGATGAAATTGATCTTTGTGTCTACTTTTCTCTTTTTATATTTTGTTGTTTTTTTTTGTGATTTGATATTTTTTCTTTATCTTTTTTTTCTTGCTTTTGTGTATTGTTGTGTTCTTTCTTCTCAACTCTCATTCAGTTCTCCTCCATCTATCCACTTCTTCTTCCTCTCTCAGTATATATATATATATATATATTAGTTCTGGAGAAGAGAAATAAAGGCAACTGAGGAAAGAAATAATAAACACACGCACAGATAGAGAAAGAGAGAGAAAAATACACTCAGAGACATGCATGGGAACATTACATTTCTTTCTTTTTTTGTTTTTTGTTTTTCTTTTGTTATTTGTTTGTTCTTGTTGTTTCTTTGGGGAAGGACGAATCCCTTTTCCATTGTTTTTGCACACTTTGTAAATATGGCTCTTCATCATCATGTGATTTCTCACACATGTATCGCATTCTTATTATTATTATTATCATTACAGCCATTCCCCTTCAAACCTCATCTCTGCAATCCCTTTCCACTAATCCCAGACCAAGCAAAATCAGTAAAACTATCACACGAGACCATATATATATATATATATATATATAGGGTTTGTGTGTGTGTGTCTCAGCGGCATGATGTTACTAGTCGCACATCATCTGTGGACAACTTTGGTGAGTCGCAGTCGTCTGTGTCGCTGTTGTTACTACTATTGCTACTGCTATTATTGCAGTTACTACTGTTGTTGCTACTGCTAGCCCCCCCGCCGCTCTCGAGGGAAGTGTCGAGTAAACACCCATCACCGTCGCCAAGTAGCGGCAACTCCGTGGACGACGCCTCGAGGAGATTGGGATTGAGAAAAGGCACCGGAAACACACAGAGCGGCGGCAACACATCCGCCACGGATGACATGAAGAACGGCAATGTACACTCCTCTTCCTCTTCTCCACGTTGAATCTCCATTACTGTTGGTGTTGTTGGGGTGGAGATGAAGAGTGTGTTCTGTTCCCGTAATTGCTGCAGCAGCCGCTCCTTGTTGCGCACAATATCGCGGGCGTAGACTCCACTATTACTACTATTACTATTACTGCTGCTGTCGTCGAAGAGGAGTCCATTCTCGAGGTTGAAGAGACACATGGCGGCCACGGAGCGCCGCACCCGCTCGTAGCCCAACAGCTGCAGATCTTCGGCGGTGCGGTGGGCGAGCAGCCGCCAGTGGCGTTTGGCCTCCAACACAACGGCGGCGCTGCTGCCGCTGCGGCGGAGGTGCGAGAGATGTTTGCGGCGGGCCTCCGTGATGAGGGCGCGGAGGGCGACGTGGCCGTAGGCGGGAGCCGCGCAGCCCCCGTCCGTTTCTCTCTCTTCCTCCACCCGCCGCTGCCGCTGTTGTTGTTGGCGGAGGAGCACCCAATCAACATCCATTTCCTCATCCTCCTCGGCGTGGGTGGTGTTGCGGCAGTAGGGGCGTTCGCTGAAGATATAGTGCGAGCACTCTTCAATCTCCGAGGCGTAATCCATCTCAATATACTCCTCTTCTTCTTGTTCTTGTTCTTCTTCTTGTTCTTCTCTCTCGTATGGCTCTGATGGGTATTCTTCTTGCGGTGGCGGGAATTCATTTGCCTTCATGCAGCCATCGTGCGAGTGATGGATCGAGCTAGATGTCATTTGTAGGGATAGGAGCACAAGTGTACACTGAAGATACACAGAGAAGAGCAAATTAAATGAAAATGAAATGAAATATCGTGTTAGCTTCAGTAATTCCCAATGAGAAAGACAGTTTGCCGGGGCTGTCTTGTCTGTATGCGTGTATGTAGAAGGGAAAGGATGGGGGAAGTGGTGTTGTAAAGAGTGA